TTTCAGCCCCTCTTACTTGATTTTCCATTATCTAATGTCTAGATGTTGGAATTCCCCAGGTCTTGATTCTGTATTCTATTCTCTTCTTCTTCTGACACAATCTCTCTGGGTGATCTCATCTACTCCCAGAACAATAACTGTGATCTATATGGATAACTCTCTCTATGGATTCACTTCAGAATCTCCTCTGAGTTCCAGACCCATATCTCTAATTGACTGTTCAGAGTATGTGGCTGTGGATTAATGTCCTGTCCCTGACATTTACTACCTCTCAATTTTATAATGAGGGTTACAATAGCTTATTTCCTGATTTATCATAAAGATTGAATGAGTTAGTATGTGTAAAGCACCTAAAATAGTTCCTGATACAAAGTTTGGACGATGCATCACATACACCTGAAACAACACACTCAAAAGGAAGCTCTGAATTTTTTCCATCACAGCTGTTCCCATATAGGCTTCCCTATTTCAATAAATGACACCACCTTTTCATTGGTGCACCTATTCTCTTTTCTCCCTCTAACCTATTATCTAAATGAGAACATACTTGTATTAAACACAAATCAAAATATTTTCTCCACTGCTGATACCCTTCAAGAGTTTCCCATTACAATTTTAATAAATTCAAACACCTGCACATGTCCCTGCATATCCTGACCCCTTGTATGTCTTCTCATACAAATCACACATATACACATACCACACACACATGCACATACCATATTCACACATCACACAAAGATGTCCCCACCAATGGCTGGATCCTTCCAATACATCCAATTCCAATTTAAATGTCTCTGAGAGAGCCTGCTGTAACAAGCTTTCTATCTAAATAGCTCGCTGTCCCCACCTATTGTTTCCATTGTCGTTGCCCCAAATTTGTTTCCTCCGTGTCCCTTACCCCGAGTTGTCGACATTATGTCTTCTTAGTCACTGTGTGCCTCCCGTATCAAACTGCAGGTCTCGTTAGAGTAGGGCTTATGTTGGTTTATCGACCTTTAAGTGTACTCACCCCCTAGCACAATATAATAGGCATTTAGTGACTATTTCCCGTAGGAAAGCATGCAAGAATAAATGAATGAGTGAATTAGTCCTTTTCTAGCAGCTTATTTCAGAAAAGCTAGTCTGGTTTTTCAGGATCCTTCTTATCATTTATACTTTTATTTAGCTAATTCTTGGGGGAAAAATCATGCTGCTACAGTTTAGGTAAAGAACAACATAAACTACATTTGTGTGTCCTTTGAGCACTTTAAATTGCCAAATTGTATCATGTTGCTTGATTGAGCCATCTTTTTCAACTTTTCGGGGAACTCAAAGATAGGTTTAGTCATTGTACAATTCAGGTCTTCAAAACCATTTCGGATATGAATTTTATCTTCTAAAACGTTTCTGAAAGTGTCTCTATTATAGATACCTTGGATAGCCTCTTTCTACTTCCATTCTACCCTCCCTCCAGTTGGAAAAATTGCAATGCCAAAAACCTGTCTTCTAGACTCCCAGCATGTTTAATTTCATCATTTAGATGCACCTATAGGAGACTGAAAAGCAGGAATGCTTTAGCAAACAAGGTCGCTTTGATGGGAGTAAGTGGCTGAGGCTGGCCTCAACATTTTCAGTATCTAGTCTGTGGGTGCAAAGAGGCAGGTGTGGAGGCAGCTTTAAAGAACAAAGCAGCTTCCTGGCCAATGGATAGTCCTGGGTGCTCAATAATCCAGTGTAGTCTCCTGACATCAATCCTTCTAGTCCTTTCAACAACTGTGTGTGCATCCAGTTCCCTGTACAGAAGTCTCTCTGCTTATATCATCTAGAGTGGTTTGTATATCTAGCACGGAAGTCTGATACAAACATAGGAACATGTTTTTTAAAAGTTTTTATTTCCTTTCTTGTTTGTTTTTTTTTCTCATAGCATTTCTTCAGGGTAAAACATACCTCATAACATTGTAAAAATATCTTGGTGATTTTTTTTTTTTCATTTCTCTCAATGTTTTTAAACGACATATTTGGGCTTTTTTTTCACCATGGACAATTTCAAATATATACAAACAAGAAATTATTATAATGAATCTCAGTGTACCACTTACCTAATTGCAATTCATGGACTGGCGATTTTATATCCTATAAAACCCCACCCACATTTTCCCTAACAGATCACTACCAAAGTGTGATTTACAAGTTTCATGCAGCAGAGGCTCTTTTATCAAACCTTAGAACTTAAGCCTTAGATTCATTTGCACCTATATAATAATAAAATATAAATATAGTAAAATAAAATAATAATATAACATATAAATACATTATATGTTCTATAATCATAAATAATATGAGTTATTATAAATGTAATAAAATGCCATGATAAAACCCATATATTAAATAAGCATCTAGGCATATTTTACATCTTGTAAATTTGCTACTATTTGGGACTACAGTAATGATATCAGATGTTCTGCCATATTCCTCTGACTACTTTAGGAAGAAATAACATATGTATCACGGCTCTTCAAGATTTCAGGTAATTCTCAATTTTCTCGCGTAACCTCTAGAAATTTTTACTACTTTCATAATAAGTTTCAAACTGGCTATTTCTAAAGCATATTGCTCTCACATGAAAATATAGTTGGAGAATTATTAAACTCTATAAAGAAACATGAGTTAGAAATCAACACTAATTGAATCTCTCTGTCTCTCTCTCTCTCACACACACACACACACACACACACACAATTTTGAGTATTTGGAAATTAAGAGCTTGCAAACTAATAATTTATGCATATTTTAATCAGGAATTTGAACTGATTTGTAAGAGCCAATGGTTTTGTGTATTTAAAAGTAAAAATGACATATAAACAAACTGAAAACTGATTCCAAGAAGGACAAGCTTGTTTTTCAACACTTGCTGAGCAGCCCTCCCCTGATGTGCTGTGCAATCACCCAGTTCAGTCTCTGCTTCAATGGCTAAGCACTGGCCTTGCAGGAAGGGATATTGGCATAATCATTCCTCTTGCCAGTGGTGCACAATCTCACTCTGACATGACTGCTGGGCTAATATCACAGGTCTCCCAGTAGCAGAGAAGTATCAGATTTTCCCATCATTCTCTGAACAGAAAAGTGTTGTGCCCTTCCCCTCAAAAACAAAATTCAAATCAAAACAACCACCACACACACACCATTGTGTTTTGCCAAAAGCATTTTTCATGATTTTGCATTTTCACACCTATGATAAATACTTTGACAATTACAATTCAAAACTTTCCTCTGCAAATACTTTAGTAAAATTGATGGCCCAGGAAAAACTTGTTTCTCTTTAGCACTCAATCATATAGCTGTCACAGATACAATGACCCAAGCAACCAGTTTCTCAGCATGATCACGTGGTCAGAATTGTGTTTTCACTTTCTTATGATAAGATACATATTTCACCAGGAGAATAAAGAATGTTTTAAATAAACAAAATAAATGAATGTTCAATAATAAAATTAATAATAATTCCAATGCAAAGTAATCAGTAATCAAGTCCCAAACTCAAGAGAACACATGGCTGTCTCTTCCTGGATATTTTATGAGCCATGCAATCATGTAACTCTCAGTAGTTTACAATATTTTTACCCCACTAATAGCATGATGTAGGGATTTCCTGTAATTCCTATTTGCTGCTTACTAAGAGTAATCAATGTCTAGTTTGCCATCTTATGACCTTCTTATTCAGCGTCCTTCACCACATTTTTTTTCCAACGTATCCTATTACTTCCTAGGAAGGGAAGTTTTCACTAATGGCATCCAGCCCAGTCTGCTCTCTCCACACCATGTCCTACCTTGAAGCTCTCTTCAACTTCACCTTCATTTAAGCTTACCTATTGACTCAGTTTCTATGACAATGTTTTCAGCTTATTATCACACAGGGAAGATCTAGAAGTCTCATTCACTTTAAGTGTTAATAGCTGAGAGGAATTCATTTGTTACCCCATGCACACAGGCCCTAAGAGATTTGCATTTTAATAGAGGACAATTCTTTCATAACTCAAAGGAATGGAATATCTCTAATGGTGGAATTTCAAGCATCACTGACACTAATGGAGGAAATATTTGGGGTGAAAATACTTATCACCAAACCATAATACTTGAGACAACTACATATCTTTTCACCTAGATTTAAGCTTAACTTGAATAAAAGCAGATATTCATGCTTGAACAAGAGTAAAAGCAGAACTAAATTTAAGGCAAAAATCTAAGCTGTTTCTTAATGGAATGCATTATTATCTTTGCATTCTTTGCTTCTTATCTTTGCAAAGTGAAGTTATACCATGTATAACTCAATTTCATTATGTCTTGAAAAAGATGGCCTTAAAGTTCTCTTCACCTTCACCAAACTTAGACAGGCATCTTCTTGTCCTTTGGCTCCTGATCTCCCTTTTCTTAGAGCATTTACTTTAGAAAACTTGTACTTGTAAATTCTCTCTCTGATCTTTCAAGATATAAATTTTCTTAAAAGCCTCCTGCCAGTTTTACAACCCATGTGTGCCTTTCTCAGAGGCCTGGGAGCCGCCCCTTTGAAATGTAATCATCAAGAAAGAGAGTACTTCTATCTCCCAGTTTCTGTGGGAGGGTAGGAACCTAACTCCCTTGGGTGCCTTGCTCCAAGTTGTAAAACTACACTCTTGACATGAAAATAAGAGAAAGTTTTCTCTTCTTTTGAGTAAGGCCAATCAGCAAACACAGATGGCCTACAATCCTCCCACCCCTTTCCAGATCTTAAAAACTCTTCTGCTTTTTGTTTCAGTGAAATTGAGTTCAGAATGAGTTCTGGTCTCTCTCCCCTATTGCAATAGCCTTGAATAAAGTCTGCCTTGCGTGTTTAACTTTGTCTAGTGCAAGTTTTGCTTTGACAGCCTGGACATGGACAGACTTAAGTACCTATATTCAATTTGTTTACATTGCCCCAAGATTCCTTTATTAACAAACATCCTGAACATAATCTGACTAAGGAAGCAAAGAAAGTACAATACCTTTTTTCTTTACATCCATGGCAGTTTCCTTCTCAGTTTTCATTTTGACATCTTCTTTTTCTGGTAGTAAAATGAGAAAATTATAAACATCTGTTTAATTATCATATATTTCAGGGCACATTTTACTGCCATTAACATCCAATTCACCTTGTATAGAGTGATTCTACATTAGAGTCATAGTCATGTCAAATATGAGTGAACTAGCACCTTTGTAACAGAACATTGGTTTTGGTGTGCTATCCCTTCAGGGAAGGAGCAAATTTTTGCTAAGGTAAAAAAAAAAAATTTCATGACAGTATGAACATTAGATGGCATTGTTAATTATGATACAATTCAATAGTTTTTCTAAAGGACATTAAAAGGAATATATTGAATGTTCCCTGGGCTATCAGGCCACTGCAAGCATGTCAGAAGCTGAGAAATCTCTTGGGCTCATTTGGGACTTCAGATGTGCTATTTGAAAATAACCATTCAAAAAAGAACAAAACTTAGCAAACCAACTAACTACTTTCTTTCCCATACATTCAATAATTTTTATTATTTATTTATTTATTTATTTTTTTGTGGTACGCGGGGCTCTCACTGTTGTGGCCTCTCCCGTTGCGGAGCACAGGCTCCGGACGCGCAGGCTCAGCGGCCATGGCTCACGCGCCCAGCCGCTCCGCGGCATGTGGGATCTTCCCGGACCGGGGCACGAGTCCGTGTCCCCTGCATCAGCAGGCGGACTCTCAACCACTGTGCCACCAGGGAAGCCCAATAATTTGCTCTTTTGATAGACAATTTTATTAAACTAAATTAATTGGATAGTAAACTTCATATTCATATATGTAATCAAGTAAAGTAATGAAGTAGAATTGAGCACCACTCCTAGGAAAGAAAAAAAATAATCAGTAACAAATTTTTAAAGTGTTTAGACTTGAATCTTCTTTTAAAAATTTATCAATCTCTACTTTTTTGGAATACTAACAAACAAATTAAATATATAAATATAATATATTTATAAATATATAAATATAAATTTGTTTGTTAGTAACAATGACAGTAAACTTGTTAAGGGGATTTCTTTCCTAGAAAACAGTAGCTTTACCAGTAATATTACAAATGGATATTAATTAATTTATGTGTTAGCTTTTAAATTCCTTACCTTTCTTTTTTGTTTCAGAAGTCACTTTATTCTCAGCTTTCTTCTTTTCTTCTTCTTTTTCTAGAGAAGAAATTTAAAATATTTCCTTTAGGAAAATTTAGTACAAAAGGAAAATGAAGTTTTGAATGAAGGATTACCATTAAAGTCAATTCTGCCTCCAGACAGTTTTGTGACTTTGAGCAAGTGATTTAATCTCACTAAGCCTTATTTTCTTCATTTGTAAAGTAACAGTACTTCCTTCAAAGTTAGATACGTTTTCAAAGCATTCTGCACAGTGCCTGGCTCACAGTTAAGTGCATAAAATTGTGGGCTGCTAATACTGTTTACAAAAAATGAACAAGATAGTTCAAGCTTTCTGAACCAAACGTTTGTCTAAAGTAAGATATTAATGTTGAAAATTAAAATATAATTTCTGAGAAACAATGCTGCAGGTAAGCTAAAAGAATTATTTTTTGTTTTCTTTTCATACGTTCAGTTTCATTAGAAATAATACATTAGGCCATTAACAATACCTATTTTGATTTAACTGTTTTTCAGATCTGCCTCTTGTCGACAGACATTTGGATTCTGGTGACATTTATCTGGCACCATATTGGGGACATAACTTCCACTGCCCTTTCTGAGTGGCCATATCAACCAGCGTGCTCAGACTATATTTGCACCCAGAGGTTGCTGTTAAGTCTGGATGACACATAGAACAGTTTGACAGTTTGTGGTACCTCTAGACTTCTTAAGTAAGATTTCTGTTTCAGAGATCTAAGAAAACCTTGGTCTGAGGGGCAGAGGGAACTTCAAATGCTGCCCAGCAATAGCCATGTAACAACTAGACATCCCCGGACATTTTTCTGGTAAGTGTTCTCATTTTAAATAACAAAGTCATGTAGAAGTACACAGTTGTTGAAATGGAATATTCAGTACTGTTAGGTTTGAGGCAGCTACAAGCACAGTTAATGTTGGAAACTGACTGATATTTATCTTCAGTTAGTAATGCGATTTACCTTATATATGAAATACTTTTCTCTTTGCCATTTGTCTCTCCAGCTCAAGTATAAAATGCCAGGCATTCAAAGATGTTCATTACCCAGAACTATTATGAGATTGTTACTATGCTGAAGAAATTCAATGTGTACTTCTAGTATCAATGCTTAAGTTGCCTACTAACGATGGCATCTTATTAAATATAGGAATTAATTCATTCCCTTAGGTATAGAGATTTTTTACCTATGAGATCAAAGCCAACACTTTCTTGCAGTGTCAGAAGTATAATCTACAAAGAACCTCTTTTCATGACTCCTAGAGATAAGTTAGTGTTGTAGGGAGAAATATATTCACACTCTGTCCTTTACCTTTCACACTCTGTGTACCTTTACAGCTCATCCAGTCAGAAATAGAAAGTCAGGAAGTTAGATTTTGATAGTTCTAGAGTTAGAAATAAACAAATGGAATTCTACTTTGCCTTTTCCTAAAGGTTTATACATATTAAATATGGAAAACGTCTTTAAAATTCTGAATAAAGATACTTTTGATTTAAGTATCATTACTTTCAGCTTCTGTAGGAGAAATTTTATGTAGCAAGGACTTTTCCATCTTATCTAAATAAATGCATATGCCAGACAGTTGAATTGGCATTTGCTAAACATCACCATTTGATGTCATGTGCTAGGAAAGGAGTTAATTAAAATACAGATTAATTGTAAATATTTCTTAGCCTATATTAAAAATCAATGCCATAGCCACGATAAGATCACAACTTAGTATCCAACTTAGTATCCGAGTCTCTAAGTTTCATAATGTAGATGAATAAATATTTCATTTAAAAGTTCGTGCCAATTAGTTAATCTTATATTAAACTTCAGAAGGAAAGCAGGTATTTGAGGCCAGAAGATGGAAGACATTCTTTTCATTTTTTTAAAAGAGAATTGTCTTGTGTAATAAATTCTACCCTTTATATTAATATAGCTAGGACTTTATTGTGGTGATACAGTATTCTTGCCTTAGTTCAGACTGATTAATGCTTCCATTATACACTCTGCCTGTGATTATGGCCATACACTGAAGGAGTCATGAATAAGAACAGAAATCCACAAAAAGCAGGTATAAATAATGTACTTTAATAACATTTTTATGAATTAGACTTTTAAGCCGTCATTATGGGACTTTCTTTATTCGTGGTTAATTCATTTTAAAACATCAACTTCTGAAGATTCATGCATTTCTTCAAGCACGCCTGTCTATTCTTTAGGTGATTTGGCAGCAGTGAAATTACGCTTTTCATTTATATAAGGCACAACAATTTAATTATATCCTACTTGGATATAAAAGTAACCCATGTTTCTTATATGAAAACTCTCCTTCCCTTGACTTTTTTCTCCTTCAACAGTCAACAATACTCCTCCCTTTCCACTTGACTGTGCACCCACATATCCAATTTCCTCCTCATCCTCTCCTCCAATTTGTTTGCTGTTTTGTTAGTAACAGCTAGAGAAGAGTTAGGACATTTTATATCATTGATTTTCAGAGGGTTCACAATTAAGTGTGTCTATAGAGTGTGAACTTATCAGCATACTGCCTTTCTCTGAGAAAAGTGTCATAAGCCCGGAAATGACGGCTCTATCTGGCAGGGATCACAGGAAGGGCTGGCTGAGAGAGAAATCCTCTCCACAATGAGCAGCTCTGAGCCACAAATATGTTATTAGCTTCTGCATAAATTAACATCAGATGAAAGAAAAATTAAATGACTTACTTTTTACTTTCTAAGCCCTTACAATGGGCTTTTCTCTTGCTTTTAAATGTTTTTATGCCATCTCAAAGCCAGAGAATCCACAATAGTTAATTATAATTGTTAAGCTTTTGAAGATGCCTGTTCCTAGCAAACCGAGCAAACAAATGCAAATGCTTCATTTTCATCTTATGTTTGTTCCTTCCCTTTTTGCCTTTCTACTGTACAGATTATCCAAAATTTACATGCTTTTCTTCTAACTCACTCTGGCCAGGGTTGATGTATTCTTGGTCCTAGTCAGGTTCCCTTCATAACAACTCATTCTAGCACACCTCATCACTGTCACCTTGTTTGTAAAGAGTGGCAGAAGCTGGCCTGGAACCCCAGTCACAGTATGATCATGGAAAATTTCACATAAAGAGATAAGTTCAATTACACCAATGATTATCAGAGTTCTCCATTGTTATCTACAGAGGGGAATGGAGCAAGAGAGAAAGCACTGGTGCTAGCATGGGTGACCTTGGTCTGAATTCTGTCTCTAACCCCTTCTGGTTGTGACATTGGCAATGTGCTGTGACACACTGAATTTCATTTACCTCTTTTAAAAAATGCAATAGTAAAATCTACCTTGCCGGATTATTGTGAAGAAACTGAGCAAAAGTGCCCGGACCAAAGTGGATGTTCAAAAAAAATAATGATAGCAATAACTAGCTATTACTATATTTTAGAAACAATCAAAATCTGCCTACATGTACTCTTCAATAATTTTTCTAAGTGTGACATTTATTAATCTGAGTAAATGCACATTAATTCTTATTTTTCTGTGTTGAGGGAGGCTGTAGCAGGAATATTTTATATTGTGAAACTTTAAGAAAAAAATACTCAAGTAGGCATTAACATGTTTATGAAGGGGCACTGTGCTGGAATGAAGTGGATTCCGGTTTCAGTTTTGCTATAATTAGTAGTTTTTGCCTAATGCAACTGTAAGGGAATCTTCTGTCTTCAACCACAAAAGTCAGGGGAATGAGTAGAATGTAGTTAAGTCCCTCTTCACCTGTCTATGCCTTTATTCCCCAAATGAAGTATTTATTTCCTAATTTTTCTGAGAACAGTTAACGTAAAAAGCTTTAAATCTGTAAATAGCTGTTGTACACTCTCTGGCTTTGCTATGGCTTAAAGAATT